TCCATGCTTTAGTAAACTGACCCAATCAATGATTAGATCCTCTTTTGTCTTTATAATTTGTCAATGGCTGTGCTCTGCGCCAGTACATTGATGACTTTTTAGTCTTCCATTTTATGACACACATGTAGGAAGGATCGGAAGGAAGGTTGCGCATTCCTACTTCCGTAGTGATACTGCCTCGGAAACCCAAGGAGGGGTTGCTATGAGTCGGGGCCGACTCGATGGCAAATAACAATAACAACATGTAGGAAGGATACCTTTCTGCTATTACAGCATCTGGCCACTAAGAGGCATAAAGTAAACAAGAAAAAATTAAAACCAGCTCTACCTTCACTGAAATATTTAAGGAACATTATCTCAGCACAAGGAATTTCCACAGACCAAAAGAAAGGATGCAGTTCTTCCTTCCCTTATCCCTGACACTAAGCAGCAGCTTAAGGGACTTGGAGAGCTTTGTGGCTACTGTCGCACCTGGATTGTCAATTTAACCCTAACACCCCAGCTGCTTCATCAGTTTTAAAAAGGACCTGGACCAGGTGTATAGTAGAGCTGACAAAGGACATGGTCGTGATGGCTTCTTGGCCACAGCCAGTGACCCAGAGGGAGCAAGCAGTTGGACATGATGGCTTGGGCCCATGATCACAGGGGACATCAAGCTGAGTTGGCATAAAATCTGACACAAAAAGATTGCTCCACATCCTACTTTAGGGAGTAGCAACTAGTTTCTTAAGAGCTTGCAAGCGGCCATCTAGATGCAACAGTGGGTCTCCTCTCATCCAGAGCAAGCAAGAATGAAGAAAACCAAGGACACATGGAAATAATGAGTCCAAGAGACCAGTACACCATGCAATCTTCAGCCAATAAGACCATGAAACCAGAAGTACTAGAACTAGATGGTGCCCAGCTATCACTGTCAAACATTCAGAGAGGGATCAGTGCAGGAAATTCTGGAGAGAGTGGCAGAATAATGTGGAACAAAATGCAAAATCATTGAAAAAAAAGTTTGCTGGTCTTACAGAGCCTAGTGAGAACCCTGAGACTATGCCCCCTAAATACCACCCAGGTCTGGAAATTGAACTTACTCCTGTGGCTTTCATCCAAATAATACACAGGCATATGGGCTTTGAATCAGGTCAATACACTACTTGGAGTGATCAGTTGTGGGAGAACTGAAGGGCAGTGTTTGCAAAGGGAGACAGTTCAGGAAGCAAGAGTGCATAGGAGAACTTTGGTGAGTAG